TGAGATTACAGGTGTGTATCACCACCCGTCATGTTGTTTTTCTTGAGACAAGGTGTAACTATGTAGGCAGGCTGGCATCAAATTTGCCATGTGGCCCAAGCTATGTCATCCCAGGCTCCATTATTTGGAATTCTAGACAACACTGTACACACTTTATGCATAACCCCCCCCCCACTGAGCAACAGTGGGTTTTGGCTGTGGCATGTGACATGGTGGCATGGGTCAGCCTCCTTCCGTAGGTTAGCAGGGAGGTACAGATCCTGCCCCTGTGCTGGGTGTTGGTTAGCTCCCAAGAGGTTGCCACATGTTAAGGCTGTCCCCCGCCCTCCCTCTGGCTGGAGGCCTGGAAATTACACTGACAAAGACACAAAAAGTGGGCCAGTGAGATAGCTCAGCAGACTAAGCACCTGCCTCGGCAGGTGCAGGGATCAGGGTTTGATCCCAGGTGTGCTGGCACAGTCCTGTAATGGCAGCACTTGGGAGGCTGAGACAGGAGTAGCACAAGGTCAGATCCTGCCTGGGCAGCTTCCCAAGGCCTTGTCTCCATAAAAACAAACAAACGTAAAGAAAGAAGGGCTGGAGCCGGGCTTGATAGCACACATCTCTAATCCCAGCACCTACGAGGCTAAGGCGAAAGGATCACTAAGTTTGAGGCCAGCTTGGGCTACATAGCAAGACCCTGTCTCAACAAACAAGGGGCGAGGGAGATAGCTCAGCAGCCTAAGCATCTGCCTGGCAAGCGCAATGACCTGATTTATGACATAATCGGAGTCTGAAGTGAGACCTTGTATCCAACAATTAAATAAATTTTAAAAACAAAACCACTATGAGCTGGGTATGGTGGTGTACACCTGTAGTCACAACACGCAGGAGGCCAAAGCAGGAGGAATATTGTAAGTTTAAGAACATGCTGGGGTGCCTGGCCCTAGCTCAGTCCTTTAAGTGGCTGCTTCCACAAAGCTGTCAGCCTCAGGTTGCTGGAGTTCGAACCTCACAACTCTCCCGCTGGCCAAAAGCGCCCTGAAGGCATTCGAGGAAAAAAAAAAAAAAATTATTCCATTAAAAAAAAAAAAAAAGAAGAACATGCTGGACTACAAAGTGAGCTCAAGGCCATCCTGAACTGCATAGTGAGACCCTGTCTCAAAAAGGCAAAACAGGGGCTGGGGAGATGGCTCAGTGGACTAAGCACTTCCCTGGCAAGCCCAAGGGCCTGAGTTTTCTTTTTTTTTTTAATTTTTATTTATTTGTGTGTGTGTGTGTGTGTGTGGCCAGCTCAGCCCACCAGGGTGCGGGCCGGCTGGCATGTGGTGCTGGGGGATTGAACCGCGGTCCCTGCGCTCCACTAAGCTTGTTCTAAGTAGGTGCTTTAGACCACTGAGCCATCTCACCAGCCCAAGGGCCTGAGTTTTCAATCCGTGGTTCTGCAAAAAAAAAAATAAATAAATGGCAGGTTTTTTTTTTTTTTTTTTTTTTGGCTCCAAATGCCTTCTGGGCAGGTTTGGCTGACTTGAGTTGTGGGGATCAAACCACAGCAACCTGAGCCTGACTGCTTTGTGGAAGCAGCCACTTAAAGAACTGAGCTGGTGCTGGGGAGATGGCTCAGTAGGATAAGCGCATGACTGGCAAACTCAAGGATCTCAGTTCAATCCCCGGTTCCACCAAAAAAAAAAAAAAAAAAAAAAAAAAGGAACTGAGCTATGGGGCAGGCCCCCAATAATAAATAAGTAAATAAATTTAAAAAAAAAATCAAAAAGGCAAAACAAAATAAGGGCTGAGAGCTTTTGGAATCTGCTGCTCCTCACTTGTGCCAGGAAGGTGTCTCAGGGTGGTTGCCCTGCTGGGGTGGCACAGTGTGCAACTCAGGGCACGCTCCACTATGCACTGTGTGTGTGTGTGTGTGTGTGTGTGTGTGTGTGTGTGTGGTGCTGTGGGTAAATCTAGACCTGGCATATGCTAGGCAGAAGCTCAGCTACTAAGCTGCACCTGACTTTGGTTTTGCTTTTCAAGTCAGTGTCTTTCTATTTGCCCCAGGTTGGCCTTGGGTTTTGTGGAGGTTCTTTTTTTTTTTTGGCAGAACCAGGGATTGAACTCAGGCCCTTGGGCTTGCCAGGGAAGCGCTTATTCCACTGAGCCATCTCTCCGGCCCTTGTGGAGGTTCTTTTAGGGGAGGTTCTTTTGTTTTGTTTTGTTTTGTCTTATAGACAGAGTTTGGTTGTGTAGCCCAGTCTGGCCTGAAATCATGGTGATATTCACACCTCCTGAGCATGTGGGACTACAATTGTGCAGTCCAGCTGTTGGGCCTAAGTTTTGATTTTTTTTTTTTTTTTTTGGTCTTTTTGAGACAGGGTCTTGCTATGCAGTTCAGACTGGCTTTGAGCTCATTTTGTAACCCAGGCTGGTCTCGAGCTTGCAACAATCCTCTTGCCTCAGCCTCCCAAGTGCTGGGATTATAAGTATGTGCCACCATGCCAGACTAATATGGGTCGGTCAGGGGATTTTTCTGGTACCAGGGATCAAACTCAGAATCTTGCACTTGCCAGGCAGGCGCTTATGCTGCTGAGCTATCTCCCAGGCCCCACAACAGCTTTTTTGAAGAACAAGAAATTTAAATTTTGAGAAAGTCTATTTATTTTTCTTTCTTTTTTAAGCTTAATTTATTTATTTACTTTGTGGCCGGCTCAGCCCACCCTGGGGGTATGGCATGTGATACGGGGGATCGAACTGCAGTCCCTGTGCGCTTGCTTAAGCTTGCCTAAGCAGATGCTTTAGACCACTGAGCTATCTCACTGGTTCTATTTTTCTTTTCTATTGTCTGTTGTATTGCATTTGAGAAATCTTTGGCCAACTGAAGGACACAGAGATTTCTCTTGTGATTCATTCCACAGCTGGCATAGGGTGAGCACCTGGTCTTCTTGGGCAGCTGGGCCAGGGCCCAGGGGCCAGGACCTGAGCTGCCCTTGGTCTGAGGCTGTGGGGTGTCAGCTGGGGTCTCTGCCTTCTCTGAAGAAACAGGCAGATGAGGAGGAGGGGTGGCCAAGCTGCCCACCTGCTTCCCAAGTGGCCATGTTCAGGGTAACATCTTCTGGCACCATCACTGGCAGCCCTTCTGCTGGGCCTTCTGCCCGCCCATGGTCCCTGGGATGGGTGGTGGACGTTTCTGCAGTTCCCTTCAGTCCCTGCCATGGTCCACAGGCCCTGCACCCTCCAGGGCCCCTTTGTTTTCCTCTGGAGCAGATGGCCCCTCCCAGGCCAAACCACTTCTGTTTTTTTTTCAGCTGCAGTGCTGAGTCGGGATTTCCGTCCAAGCAGCTGTGTTCTGCTGAGTCATGCTGGCGGGGGGGGGGAGGAGCTGGATTTTTGCTGAGTCACAGTGGTGCCTGACTGGCCCGACAGGGTGAGAGGGCAGCTATCTGTTGGGGCTGGGAGCCAGGTTTCCCGACTGACCTGGCCTTTGTGCTTCCTGCTCTGTGTACGCTGTGGCTGGGCCCTGCACCCTGCCTCCATGACTTCCTGGCCTCATAGCTGTCCAGCTCCTCTGTGAACCCTTCCTGTCAGTGCCACCTTCCACACAGGCAATGTGTGTGAAGGTCCTGGGCCCTGGAGCCTTCAGGGGCCCTCGTGGCTAGCGCCAGGTGGAGTGCCTGAGCTTGACCCCCAGTGCGCCCCCCACAAACACACACGCCCACATGCACCTGCAGTGCATAAATCCAATGGGATGATAGGACAGTGTGTTCACCAGCTGGGAGCTCTGATTTGCAGCCCGCACACCCAGCTCCTGGACCTCCTGGAGGGATTGGGCAGGTGGACAGAAGGTGGGGTGGGCCTTGCTCTGCCAGCCTTAGCAGTGTGATGCAGGGGAGCTCCTTAACGTCTCGATCCGGTGCTAATGTGGAGCAAGGAGAGGAGGTACCAGCTGCACCCACTGCTCAGGGCCACTGTCAGGAGGCCGGGCCTCAGCGTGCCAGCAGCCTCATCTCCACAGCAGGAAGCCCTGTTAGCCAGCTGCCTGCAGGTGCCCTCTGGCTCTGGGTTGCCCACCTCCATGTATGCTGGGCAGAAAGCCCCTCCAGATAGGCCCGTGTCAGCTCAACAGACAAGAGGGGTCGGGTTGGCAGGAAGGCAGGTGTCCCCTCACTAGGCTGCTTTTGGGACTCAGAGGATCTTTATCTGAGTTCCAAAAGGCAGGCTGAGACAGGAGCGGTGTGCCCCTGGAGTGTGCTCATCAGTGCCAGGGTACTGTGCTTAGTCCCCTGGGTCCTGTTTCCCCGGTCAGAGGAAGCTGTGCGTGTGATCCTGGGGGGCCCTATCCCTGCTGGCCCTGCTGCAGGTACCTTTAACCTTTGCTCCAGAGCCAGCCCTTGTGTCTCTGCTCCCAAGCAGCTCCCTGTCCTGCGGAAGTTCTCGCACAGAGCACCTGTGAGGAGGACAGCATCCTGGGCCCTGCCCTCCCCCAAGCCTTGAATTCAGTCTCCTGTCTCGCAGGGGGTAGATGGAGGGTGAAGGCGAGGGCCCAGGCAAGAAAGTGCCGTGATGTGATGTGCCCTGACAGGGTGTCCAGTGTCCCAGCAGCAGGTCTGCCTCTAACCAGGAGCCAGAGCTAGGAGCATGTGCAGGACAGGGCGAGGATGTCCTCCCCAGCCTCAGTTTCCCCATCTGTTAGTGGGTGTGACCCAGGACAGACTTGGACTCCGTGGACTAAGAGGGTCTACAGCCTTTGTGGCTGCTACAAGCCGACCTCCCTGTGTACATGAGCGGGGCACTGGTGTAGCCCCCTCCTCAGACTCGGGGGAGGGACCCTGTCATCAGCGCTTGGGAACTTGAGGGTGCTGAGGATGCACCCCGCCCAGTGGCGGTGGCAGAGATTTCCTGCTGGGCTGGTGCTCGGATCATATGACCTCCCCTCTCCCCGCACGGCTGGCTGGGGCGGGCTGGTGTCGCAACGTCAGCAGGACGTGGCCTCCCTGGGGCAGGCACCACGTGACCCACTGGGCTTAAAAGGCAGCACCACGCTGAGCCCTGACACCAGCATCACAACTGCCGCCTCCAGCCTACCAAGGTGCCGAGCGCAGAGGAGCGCAGAGGAGCGCAGAGCCAGCCAGAGCCACCAATGGAGACGGAGAAGGAGGGCCCACAGCCCAGCAGGCAAGCTTGGGCGGGATGGGGACAGGGACAGAGGATGGGAACTGGCCTGGTGGTCATGGGCAGCTGGAGGCAGGGGAGGTGTCCCCTCCTGCTGCTCCTAGCCCAGTGACTAGGTGGGAACGTCTGTCCCAAGCTGGCTACTTCAGGACCAACTCCACCCCTCCCCGGATACCCGGGGCTTCCAGCCTGGGTAGATTCCTGGTGTTCCTTGGCTGTGTTGTCCCTTTTCTCAGACCCGGGCTCCACAGAGCCCAGGGCTGTTGGCCAGCAGGTGTTAGTGCCAGTCCGAACCTGGGTGCTTTCTCCCAAGAATGCCATCGTCCTGGAAAGATGTGTGTGGGGGGGGATATGACAGTATCAGCTGGAACAAAATACTCCCAGAAAGGGATTCTTCCTTCCCTCAGTGAAGCAGAATTCTGGGGGGCTTATTAATGGAATCCCTGTGACAACAGCATAACATGGGGGTCAGGAACTTTGTTTCTGAAGTTTCAAAGAAAGAAATGAGCTAGACATTGGGTGTAAATGCCAAATCAAAGATCCAGGCTTGGGTGGTACACCCGTATAAGCCCAGCACTGGGGAGGCTGAGGCAGGAGGATCGCCTGGGCTACAAAATGAGCTCAAGGCCAGCCTGAACTGCATAGGGAGACCCTCTCTCAAAAAGACACAAACATAAACCAACAGCAACAAAACCAAAATCAAAACTGGATATAGTGGTGCACCTCTATAAGCCCAACATGGTGGGAGCCTGAGGCAGAACAGCAAGACTGAGCCTAGCCCAGGAAACTTAGTGAGATGCAAAAAAAAAAAGAAAGAAAAAAGAAAAGGGCCGGAGCTACAGCTTAGGCAGAGGCCCTGGGTTCTATACCCAATTGGAAAGTGATTTCGTGCCGGTGAAGGGACCCCAGAGGTCAGCCCCCCTCCCTGAGTCTCTCTCCCCTTCCCTAGAAAGTTGGAGCTGTTTTTGCAAAGCCAGGTGTGGAACCCAGCACGACCCCTGAGTCTCACACCACCACCCAGGTCTGGAGACCTGATACTGTGGCGAGATGTTGGCCCTGTGCCCTGTCCTGTCACCCCGCTGACCCTGCCCTTCCACACAGGGTGCCCCAGGACCTGTCTGAGGCCATCAAGGAGGCCACCAAGGAGGTGCACACTCAGGCGGAGAACACTGAGTTCATGCGGAACTTTCAGAAGGGTCAAGTGACCCGGGAGGGCTTCAAGGTGGGTACCATGTTCGGTGCAGATGGTGCCAGCAGACTCAGACCAGAGGCCACGCGCAGCTACACACTGAGGCAAGGCCTTCTCTCTGGTGACTTGAGGGCTCAGAGGGCCCATCACTATCAGAAGTCACATGACCCCACAGGGAGAGGACAGACTCGAGTGAGCTGGGTCCTAGGCTTCCAGGCCTCCAGGGCAGCGTGGTGTGGCCAGCAGGGCCCCTGGTGGCTGTGGGGCAGAGCCTTCCACCCTGTACTCTTCCCTGCAGAGCCACTGGCCAGGTGCTGTCTGCGGGGGCAGCTATGAGCTTACTCCAGACAGCTGCGTGGCTGAGCCTGGTAGTGTCAGGGTCCTCCTGCACCCTACCCGGCCCTGACCCTGCTTCTGGCACCTGTGGGGTGGCCGGGCCACGGGCAGGGCCTCTTTGCTGCCCTCTCCAAACCCAAAGCCAGAACCTGGAACTGGGCAGCAGGTGGCCAGCCCTGTCCTGAACCGGCCTGGGGTCTCCCCCTTTGACCTGTGCCAGCCCTGGACAGAGGGTTCATCTCCCCTCCCATGGGCAGCTCCAAGGAATGGCTTGAGGGCTGGCCACCAAAAGCAGCAAGGGCAGTGACTTGCCCACAGCCCTCCCTGGGAGCCCATGTGCTGTGTCTGGGCCGGCTTCCAGCAGTCTGCCCTTGAGCCATGGGCCTTCCAGGAGCAGCTGAGTCCAGCTAACCCGGTGGCTTTGTCCTGCACACAGTGGCAAAGTGACTGTGTCGGAGTCCCTGAGCTGGCGGGCGGGCCTCACAGCGCCACGCCCTGCAGCTGGAGCCTCTGCTCTCTCCACGCTTCTCAGATGCACAGCCTCTTGGAGCATGGCGCTGCCTTTGTGAGAAATGGAGTTAGAAACCCTGAGCTGGTTTTTGCAGGAAAGAAATGAGGCCTCTGTGAGGCTGAGCTAGTGCAGGACTCAGTTTCCCTCTGAGATCTGGCTCTATGCATGGCATCCTAGGGCCAGGCGGGCGCTGCTGGCCACACCGGGGCAGAGTCTGACCTGTGCTGTCCCTGCAGCTGGTGATGGCTTCACTGTACCACATCTACGATGCGCTGGAGGAGGAGATTGAGCGCAGCAAGGACAGCCCAGCCTTCGCCCCTGTCTACTTCCCCGAGGAGCTGCACCGGCGTGCGGCTCTGGAACAGGACATGGCCTTCTGGTACGGGCCGCGCTGGCGCCTGGCCATTCCCTGTTCCCCTGCCACAAGTCGTTATGTGCAGCGGCTCCACGAGGTGGGGCGTGCGGAGCCCGAGCTCCTGGTGGCCCATGCCTACACTCGCTACCTGGGTGACCTGTCAGGTGGCCAAGTCCTCAAGAAGATTGCTCAGAAGGCCCTGGGGCTACCCGGCTCTGGGGAGGGCCTGGCCTTCTTCAGTTTCCCCAGCATCCCCAGCGCCACCACGTTCAAGCAGCTATACCGCGCCCGCATGAACTCCCTCGAGATGACGCCCGAGGTGCGGCACAGGGTG